GAGGCTGGGGGTGGGAGAAGCAAGCCTGCTTCTCCCCCCCCCCAGCCCCACAACCTCCAGATCAGGTCGGGGAATAGCGGGATGGCGGCGCTCCGCCATCCCGCTATTCCCCGACCTGATCTGGAGGCTGGGGGTGGGAGAAGCAAGCCTGCTTCTCCCCCCCCACCAGCCCCACAACCTCCAGGCTTCAGGAGAGCCCCACCGCCAGCCCCACAAGCTCGGGGGACAGCGGGAGAGGCGCAGCGCGCCCTTCCCGCTGTCCCCCAACTTGGCTAGAAGGCTGGCGGGGGGAGAAGCCTGCTCCTCCCCGTCGCCAGCCCCGCAAACTCGGGGGACAGCGGGAGAGGCGCAGCGCGCCTTTGCCGCTGTCCCCCGACTTGTCTAGAAGGCTGGCGGGGGGAGAAGCCTGCTCCTCCCCGTCGCCAGCCCCGCAAACTCGGGGGACAGCGGGAGAGGCGCAGCGCGCCTTTGCCGCTGTCCCCCGACTTGTCTAGAAGGCTGGCGGGGGGAGAAGCCTGCTCCTCCCCGTCGCCAGCCCCACAAACTCGGGAGACAGCGGCAGGGGCGCAGCGCGCCCTTCTCGCTGTCCCCCGACTTGGTTAGAAGGCTGGCCCAGCCCCGCAAACTCGGGGGACAGCGGGAGAGGCGCAGCGCGCCTTTGCCGCTGTCCCCCGACTTGTCTAGAAGGCTGGCGGGGGGAGAAGCCTGCTCCTCCCCGTCGCCAGCCCCGCAAACTCGGGGGACAGCGGGAGAGGCGCAGCGCGCCTTTGCCGCTGTCCCCCGACTTGTCTAGAAGGCTGGCGGGGGGAGAAGCCTGCTCCTCCCCGTCGCCAGCCCCGCAAACTCGGGAGACAGCGGCAGGGGCGCAGCGCGCCCTTCCCGCTGTCCCCGACTTGGTTAGAAGGCTGGCCCAGCCCCGCAAACTCGGGGGACAGCGGGAGAGGCGCAGCGCGCCATCCCGCTGTCTCCCGACATGGTTTGGAGGCTGGCGGAAGGCTTCCTCCTCCCCCACCCCCGCAAGCTCCCAGAGCGATGCCAAAGCTGCGCGCAGCTTCGGCATGGCTCTGGGTCCCGTTCTGGGGGAGGGGGAAGCTCGGGCTTCCCCGCCCCAGCCCCGCGCCTGGCGGGGGGGGGGGAATAATTTTTTTTTGCCTTTATTTCCCCCCCCCCAAATCTAGGTGCGTCCTATGGACCGGTGCGTCCAATAGTCCGAAAAATACGGTATATGTGAGCCAGTCATAAAAGTAATTGTTTGACTCCACAAGCATGTCTGTGGTGTTTGGGTTTTTTTGTGGTGCTTTGTTCAGTACAGTGGTACCTCGGGTTACAGACGCTTCAGGTTACAGACTGCTAACCCAGAAATAGTACCTCGGGTTAAGAACTTTGCTTCAGGATGAGAACAGAAATCATGCTCCGGTGGCACAGCGGCTGCGGGAGGCCCCATTAGCTAAAGTGGTACTTCAGGTTAAGAACAGTTTCAGGTTAAGAACGGACTGTAGTTGGGAATCTGTGCTGCTTGCCAGCAGGTATAGAGAAATGGATTGTTATATTTAGTACTAAGGTTTAAAATTAAGTATTCCAAATCCACATTTTACTTTGCTAAAGGAGATTCTAAACATGGAACTTTGAATTTGAATATTTAATCTTAAGAGTTATATCTCCACCCATCCCAGCCATAACTGCTTTCAGGTGTAATGCCAAAACGGTCTGGTCCTAGTTGTTTGTACCACAGGACTGAAGCAAGACTAATGTTTCAGATATTTCTAAGTTTGCATAACTTGGGGCCTTGGGCTGGTGACTTGTCAATTGAACTTGTCAATTACTAGGCAATTTGCAATACTCTTAACTTGTGGGTTGTGCTCAATTTAGCAGCAGTGGTGTGTGAGTGAGAGAACATTACTATTGTGGCAGAAAGCTCAGGTAGACCAGAGATTTGGTGATGCGGTGCTGTCAAATTCCACCAGAGTGGTGTGGTAGATTAAAAGACAGTGACTAATGTCATTTAAAAATATGTATACAAGTGAGAACTGGAAAGCTGAACTTGAGAAGGGAGAAGTGGAGTTGTAAGGGAACACTCTACTTGGGTCTAAATTCAGTATGCAGGGGATAGATCTTCCAGAGAGTGAGACAAATATTCCGAAACTAGTAGGGAATGGTGTGGTGATCCTGTAGTCTATTATACTAATAGAGGAGCCTCAGGAGCGAGATTTATAGAAAGGAAACTGACAAAAAATACCAATACCTCAGCTATAACATCTCTGCAATTAGTTCATTGAGGAACAAAGCAAATATTAGCTACATATTTACCATCTTGTTTAAAAGCTTGTAACATCCACTGTACATATAAATGTACTGTTTCTTGAAAGAATTCTATCTCCAGACACATCTTTTGCTTTACCTGTTTTGTTGCAAAATTATTATTTTTTAAAAAAACTTTTTCCTGTCTCACTTCCCTAAGTCTCCAAGTACCAAGATCTTTCTTAAGAAAGCAAAAAATAGTCAATAGTGAGAGGGAGCACACATCACTATGCTGTCCTGCTGGTGCTGTTGCATGAGAAGGGGATGGGTCAGGTTGGTGGTGATCCTGATGAATACAGCCACTGCTGCAGCCACACTGTCACCACAGCTTACAGAATCACTTAGGGTGCATGTCTGCAGTACCCTGAAGGATATGCAGAGTTCAGCAAATGTGGTTGCCAACTAACTTCCACAAAAAGTCTAGTCTATAACAGCAGTTTGATCTGCAGAAATCTGTCAAGCTTTTCATGCCTAGAGAAGGGCATTGTCGCCTGCTTCCTTGTAGATCAAGGTGCTGTTAAAGGCACAGGGAATCAGTAAAATAATTGTCAACCCTATCTGCAAGTGAACCATGCCATTTTCTGTGAAGAAAGGGTTTGCATTGTTTCTAAGGGCTGAGCAATGGGCTGAGGGAAGTTTCTAGTTGAGAGGAAATGCTAGTACAGTGATCATCAGATTCTAAGTATGAACATCTGCTGAGCTGCCTCAAGGGAAGATGTTCTTAATTGTTTCTTATAAAGCTATTATATCCAGAATTTCATTCTTGGTGTGATGATACTTAGCAGGATGGAAGAAAATGCAAAGAAAATAAAACACTTTTTGAATTCTTTGGGTTAACTACAGAGGTAATCATGTAATTCACCTGTCTCCTTTACATAACTGTACAGTGGTATCTCAGGTTACAAACACCTTGGGTTACAAACACTTTGGGGTTACAGACTCCGCTAACCCAGAAGTAGTACCTCAGGTTAAGAACTTTGCTTCAGGATGAGAACAGAAATTGCGCGGTGGCAGCGCAGCAGCAGCGGGAGGCCCCATTAGCTAAAGTGGTACCTCAGGTTAAGAATGGTTTCAGGTTAAGAACCGACCTCCGGAATGAATTAAGTTTGTAACCAGAGGTACCACTGTACTTGGTTCAGTTTTTAGTTACTTGAGATTGTTTGAGTGGGGGAAAAAAATCAGAATTTTTAAATTTCTATTATTTTTATAGACTGCTAATACAAAAAACAACAACAAGCAGTGTGCAGCATATTAAAAATTGTGGAAGGAAGGGTGTGTTTTCTTGCCTTCTCTGTAATAACAAACCTAAACCCCTGCTACCACCAACATGCTTATTTCATTTATTCCTCTGGATTCTTAATTACCAGTAACCTGGTAGCTGTAGGGTAAATGTGTGGTACAAAACTAGTCAGTTGTTGTTGTTGTTACAGTTTATTAACCACCTTCACCCCATGTTCCCAGGATTGGTTACAACAATTAGTACAACATTAATATTAAAATGTAGTATTACACATTATGGGGTTTTAAAAATTTTAAAACAACTTATTTGGCCTGACATGACTTGGCTGGATGTTTTGGGCAAGCCTTCACCTGACATTGTATGTCACATCATATAACCATAAGCCAAGCACAGGGTTTCCTCAGACCATTATGCGATACAGTGGTACCTCGGGTTACATATGCTTCAGGTTACATACGCTTCAGGTTACAGAAATAGTACCTCAGGTTAAGAACTTTGCTTCAGGATGAGAACAGAAATTGCGCGGTGGCAGCGCAGCAGCAGCGGGAGGCCCCATTAGCTAAAGTGGTGCTTCAGGTTAAGAACAGTTTCAGATTAAGAATGGACCTCTGGAACGAATTAAGTACGTAACTAGAGGTACCACTGTACTTCTCAAATGCCCAATAATCAGCTGGTTTGGGGTATTTGGGAAGCAATGAGCACAAAGCTGAGCAAGCCTTTTGATCTTCCCCATACCTGCAGACCAACTCTGTCAGGTGTCTGTCAGATGATGAACAAGTGACTGGTCCTGCCCACTTGTCAAAGTTGGCCCAAAGGGTGGAAAGAGATAAAGATGTGACTTGATGGACCAAAAAGGTTTTCCTACTCCTGTTCTGATACATATAGCACTACACTATACGTCTGGATTGCCAATGTTTTATGGATGTTTTATTTATTTATCTTTTATGACATTGTTGTCTCTAAACAATGCCAATAAATGCTGAATTTGATTTAAATTTGATTTACATATAAAACTTTCTGATTCAAAATATTAATGGAGAATTCATGGGGGCTGCTAGACTACCCTTTCTTAGTTGCTTCTTTTAAGGACAAATACTCTAGCAATCTGATAAATGTAGTCCATTACCCTTGTTCCACTTTTAAAAACGCTGTTCTTTTACAACAACAAATGTTTACCAATCTTACAGAATTTTCTACATGTATGCTTTTATGGGAATCATTTTTAAAAATCATTGTAAAAATTTTTTTTATACAAAAGAATAACTCCTAACTATTGCCCTATTTGATATAAATTGTTTTGTGAGACGAGCAGAGCATGTAAGCCTAACCACATGCAAGGAACTGGACCAGTTTTGAAGTGCCTGTTTGCCAAAACAGAATTTTTATATATGTCAGCTATTTAAAGATGAATTCCTCACCAGGTTGTGTAAGGTACTTTATGAACATATGTTCTTTTTATTAGGTCTCAGACATTTCATGGCTACCTGGAGGACATTATCAACTATCGCTGGGAACTGGAGGAAGGGAAGCCCAATCCCTTACGAGAATCTACTTTCCAAGAGCTACCCTTGCGCACTCGTGTGGAGATCTTGCACCGCCTTTGTGATTACCGACTTGATGCTGATGATGTCTTTGACCTACTCAAGGTGTGTTGGGTGGTGACAGATGTTGGATAGGGAACTGGAAAGTGGAATGGTACACACTTTCCACTAAGAAGTTAACACTTTGTGTTCATAGGTACATTCTATATCACTTTTTGTTACTAAGCTCATTTAAAAGGTCGCTTAATTTGTTAGATTGTTTGGTGTCTTTAGTCTTCCCAAACTGGACAACCTGAAGAAACAAGTGTGTGAAATTGGATATTGCTCTCTGGTATCTTTGATTTACTGATGCCTCGTGTGTATTTTTTCAGTGAATCAGTGTTCTGTGTTAAAGAAGGCTCATTGGTGGCTGTGGAAATATTGAGAAGCTATCTGATTTTTAATAGATTAATGTCAGGTAGGAAGTATTCTGGACTACAGCTTCATGCATTCCCTTGCTGTTGTTTGATTGCCAGCCTAAGCATCAACACGTGGAAACTTTTCGTTTGCAACACTATACTGTCTCTAGCTGTAATTTATTTTTCGTTACTTTTTTGTTGTTCTTGGGAGTTATTTACACACACTTCTGCATAGTGTCTTCACAAGGCATTTGCTAATTTTGAAAACCACAGGTAGTAGTAAAATCTGAGTTGTTTTGGAGATTTCCCTTACTATGCTTGTTTGATAGGCATTGGTATGTGCATGTGGTCATAGAACCCAGCCTTTGTTAGATAAAGTGGTTATTGTGAATGCCAACAGCAGCTGTGTTGTGTTACTAGTTAAGAGAGGCTAGGTATTTTTATTGTTCTTTGCATAAAATGTGGCCCTCAAGTTGCAAGTGTTAATCATAATTAAAATAACTGTAAGGAAGGCATAGCATTTTAAGGAAAGTTAATATCTTTTCTTGAAAAATGCTTCTGGGCATTTGGCCCGGATGCTTTTTCTTGTTGTCTTTTAAAAATAAATATAGTTTTATTGATTTCCAATATATAATAATTACAAAAGGGAGGGTTACACCCTCCTTCCAGTACGGATCAGCCTATTTAAGTTTGCCAAAGTCCAATCTGTGATTTCATTGCTTTCCATTTTTCAGGGTTATCAGTAAAGTATTTTTTTAAAGGATGCCACATTCAACAAAATTGTCTGTATCATTTCTGTTACTCAATGTATGTAACCTATTTGTTAATATTTTTAAATGTTTTATTGATATTGCTGAGGCTACTTACAGATGGCCATTTACTGTGAGGTGTCTGCTTATAATCTCATAGTGACTAATTCCAGACCATGATTTGGGGGATCGTGAAATAAGCATTATATTAATGTGTTCCTCCATGTGCAGGCTTATTTATTTTTCTTTTAAAATGAAATGCAAGTTTTTTCTATAAAGTGTGATGTCAGAAACCATTGTTTGATCCTGGTCTGAGAGACTGACTAAAACCACACTTTGTCAGATCAGATGTAGCTGGGGTTTTTTTGCCCTTCGTGAAGCTTCCAGAGGGGCACCATTGAGGCTCCCATTGAGGATCCGTGTGTGTGTACACACAAATGCCCCCCCACTGGGTTTTTTGACACGGGTGAAATAAAGCCTAGTTTTGCCCCTGCAAAATGAGCATGTACAACACTAAGCCATGATCCAAAAAGTGGTTTGTAGGATTGTCTGAATGTAGCCAGTGTGGATTTGCAACACAGTGTGAAATGTACATATATGTGAGGTGGTAGAGGAGCTGTAAAGCCTGCCTCACCACGTGGCTCGTTACCACAGATAGAGGGTGAGTTTATCAGCCAACCATCATAACCACAGGTGAAAACATTTTTATAAGTATCCCATTCAATTAATCCATTTGAATGTCATTACACTGGAATAAATTATCTCATGTCATTTTTTCAGTAAGTATCTATGACCAAGAGTTATCAGGAATTCAGTTTTGCAATCAGGTTGTTTCCAAAAAAAGTTCAAGGATGACCGGTTTCATGCATAATGCCGCTTTAGAAATAATCCCCGGAACAGTGTTGTGCAGACAACCATTATATCAGACAAGGTCCTTTCATTGCTGCTTGAAGGGAGACGTTCAGCAGGTGTGACTTCTCTTGTTACTGCAATACTGTGGTAGAAGATGCACCTGCTTGCAGCTGAAGCCAAGTATGGTCTTTGTGGAACTTTAGAATTTTGGCATTTGAGGAGGGAGAGCCCACCTGCTGTTTTGCTATGAAAGGTATAAGAGGCCACTTTGGGTTTGGCTTTAGCAAGCTTTAATTAGCCTTTCTCGTGAATATATTTGTAGCACACAAATCTCACAGTGAATTAACGCATCTGACCATTTTTTGGCAAGATGAAGTTTGACTGTGTACACCACCTCTGGTGGGTACAGTCAGGGTTTTAAGATGGGTGCAACAAATGCAGCAGTGATACTGAACAGCAGAAAAATGTGCTGGGCCAACAGAAGTTGGAAATATTGGTTGAATCAAATGTTGTGTGCAAAACTGTTATATGATTGTCTCATGCTGCATAAAAAGCTACTCAGTGTTAATTGTCCATCTTTGTTAGGTTCACAAAAGGGAGCATTGTCAAAATGAAGTGACCATGAAGAACTTATATTTAGCCGAGAAAGGACGGCTTTCCCCCCCCAAACACGTTACAGGCTGTCCAGAACCCGAGAGATGCCTGTACTTTAAACAGTATTAGTGGACAAGTGTTGGTGGCTGGTTTTCCACTGTTGTCTTTTTGTATATTTGCTTTCAAATACAGGGTTTGGATGCAGATAGCCTTCGGGTGGAACCGCTGGGTGAGGATGGCAACGGTGCCCTCTACTGGTATTTCTATGGCACTCGTATGTACAAAGAGGAACCCATGAAACCAAATGGAGAAATGCCTTCAGACAGGTACAAACGTACCTTTGTAGCAAGGAGAAGGTGGATGAGAGTGCCAGAAAGGAGCAAATTTGTGAAAGGAATAGTGATTGGAGTGCCACTGCAAGGGCTACAAAATCAACAAGTTTACTTATCTCCTGTTAATTACAAAATATGCAGAGTTTTCAGAGTATTTTATTGTTTTTATTCTGTTTGCTTTCAAAAGCCCCTTCAAAAGCCTTCTGAGATAGGTGTCTGTTGTTCCCATTTTACTGGGAAGTGAAGCTAAGAAAGTGACTGCTTCAAGGTCTCACAAGGAATCCATTACAAGGATGGTACTTGGAAATTGGAGAAAGTTCTACTCTAGGCATTATACCAGAGTGGTTCTTGTATAGGGCAGCTAAAACCAAGTATAGCCTTGCAGATTGTAAGAATTCTGCCACTTGAGACACATTTTGCCACACTTACTTACTACCTGCTGGAAAAAGAGTCATGCCCACTGTTGAATTGATTTCCCAAGTAGCTGTGCCCTTCTCTTCTGTTACCCTCCTTGGAACGAATCTCTTTCCTAGCTTGACTCCTAGCAGCTGTTTCAGTGCTTCTTATGGTCACTGCTCTCTTGTTACCCTCCTGCTCTTGCCAACTGCTACTATCATATTCTGTAGCTATTCTGTAACTTTTCAATGTGTTCCAGGGGATGTGGGATACAGACAAGCACTCAAAGCATTCCTGGAAAAATAGTAAAAAGACGAGGGCGACCTCCAAAACGAAAGAAACTACTGGAGGAGAATCTCTTAAGGTAAAGAAATGCCATGTTTGAAATATTAACCAAAGATAATCAAATGCATGTGTTTGTGTAGTGTCATTTGAGTACATGATGCTTTACAGAGTAGAGGAGCTTACAATCTAAATGTTGACAGTAACGAAAATGAAGGGGATGATGAAAAGGTTGTGGCATAAGTAACAGGGGATGAATGTGAACAAGTCTTGTTGAATATAAAGCCTTCTGAAGGGGACCTGAATTCAAATTGAACTTTATGACCATATGTAGCCTCTGATTTGCCTTCTAATGATAAAACTGAGCTACATCAATATCTACCAAGTGCTGTGACATTTCAGTGGCAGTATTTGTTTTCATTCTAGCAGTGAATGTATTACTTTGCTTAAATTTGCTTTATAGCTTAGCCGGTAGAGCATGAGACTCTTAATCTCAGGGTTGTATGTTCAAGCCCCATGTTGGACAAAAGATTCTTCATTGCAGGGGGTTGGAGTAGATGGCCCTTGTGGTCCCTTCCAGCTCTACAACTCTACAATTCTATGATTCTATATCGTTTCCTAACAATACTGTTTATTTTATTTGTTGCTCATAGAGAGAAGGCAGAAGAAAACGCACTTGTGTGTGAGTCACAGATGAGAAATGGTAAGGGGAAATTATGGACCATAGTTAATTTTTTTAATACAGTGTTTCAGGATGGAGGGCTTCCTGATAATCCTTTCTCTTTTGTCAAATTCATTCTAAACAGATAGGGAACAAGAGGCCTGCTTGCATTAATTAGAATTTCATTTGTACAGTTCTCTCTGTATTTAAAGTGATGACAGTCGAGTCTGAATGGTTTCTTTAGATGCTTCCCACTTTTCTTTCATGTTGGAATTGTCTGTATTTATGCTTTTCATATTTCACCTTCAAGAAACTCATATTGGCCTCCCTTCTTTTTGAGTATTTCTGACCATGGGATTTCATCCAGTAGTTTAAGCCTTTTGAAATCAGTGCAGAGTGTATATGTAAATACACTCAGCATTCCCTTGCCTCTGTATAATGAAATCCAAGAGGACATGGCCACTTTCTCCCAAGGTTCCCAGTACTACCTCATTGATCAGTTCCTTCCTGTTGGTGAGGACCAGGTCCAAAATAAATGATCCCTTTGCTTCTTCTTCTACCTTCTGGAAAATGAAATGGTCAGCAAGGCAATGGAGGAATTTGTTGGACCTTATGATATCTATGATATTATGGCAGAGTTTGGGTATCAGTGTAGTTGAAGTCTCTCATGACTACTCATCTCTCCTTTTTGAATGTTTGGTCATCTGTCCTAGGGTTATATTAGTGCTTATGCTCTCATTGCTTAGCATTTTTATTTTATTTTGTCAAAGGTTCTCAAGGACCAGGTCATGGAACATGGTGGCTGCTATGTCAGACAGAAGAGGAGTGGAAGCAGGTCACAGAGAGCTTCCGAGAGAGAACATCTTTAAGAGAGAGGCAGCTTTACAAGCTCCTGAGTGAAGATTTCCTGCCAGAGATCTGCAACATGATTGCACAAAAGGTAAGAAGAAGTATTTGAATAAGTTGAGAGTTGAGAGCAGGTTTGTTTTTTGTTTATATGAAGAAGAAAATGATAGGGCCCAGATTCTGTGACCAGATAACCAAAGATATGTTGTTGGAATTCCCCCTCCCCCCTCAAAAAAATGATAAAAATTTCCTCAAACATACTTATGTGCTTTGTCACATCTGGATTTTTTTTGCTGTTTCTTTTTTTAAAACATGCACAAATTAGTGGAGCAAAAAAGGAGGATACACATAGGTAATGCAACTGGATAATGTATAATAGAAAACATTTAACTTCTAGATCATTCACACAAACTCACTGAATATTTGAGGCATCTGCATATGCTAACAATATGTACTCGAGATTTTCTTCATAATGAATTAAAGTCAGAAGATTTATCTAAAGTGCATTATTGTGCCATGGTTAAATTTATATAGCTAGTAATCAAGGGGAGAAAGTGAAGAAGTTTGGCTATCTATAGAGTTCCAAGTGCATTCTTTGCAGTAGATAAGAACCATTTTGTTCAGTTTTGGGAGAATTTGTAATCTCTGTGCTCAGAAGTGGGCTACTGAGTAGAATGGAGAAGAATTTAATTATATTTCTCTTGAGAGCATTGTAGTGGATAGCTATGTTCTCTCTCCCCCCGCCCATCCCCTTCACTACGTCAGTTCAGATTGACAGTGATCTGGAAGGGGAAGTATGCTTTCATTTGCAGCATTTGGCTTGACTCATATGTGTGAAATTACTTACTCTCTGGTTTTAGAACATTATGAAGAATAATGTGGGGAGATGGACTAGTGAATAGAAGGTTGATTGGTCCTGTTTTGTGGCAGAAGGTTGCATTGGATGATATTTTAGTCCATTTCAGCACTCTAATTCTTTGATATTTGAATCTGGAGGATACTTGTCAATCTCAGCAGCACTCAGTCTTTTGTAGTTTGTTTGTTTTGTTTGTTTGTTTGTTTGTTGTTTGTTTGTTTGCTTGCTTTGCTTTGCTTTGCTTTGCTTTGCTTTTGTTCTTGATATCATTTGAAGAATCAACTCCTGTAATTCATTATCCAGGCCTGGTCTTTGAGTAATTTTGTATCTTAATATAGCTTCTGTGACTTCATCTGTGAGGGATGATAAATGAGAAATGAATTGCTAAGCGCTCTGTACATTGAAAAACATTACAGAAATTGTTACTAATAAATGGCATACATCCAAATACGAAGCCTTTGTACCAATGCTGATCCATGTTGATTTCTTTCACCACTTTTTAGGAGAAACGTCTGCAGCGAATGGAGTTTTCTCCTCGGTGGATGTCTGATCGTCAGCACATAAAGCCAATAAGGCAAGAGGTAATGTGCTATGTAATAGCAGAATAGAGGACGCGGGTGGCGCTGTGGTCTAAACCATTGAACCTCTTGGGCTTGCCAATTGGAAGGTCGGCGGTTCGAATCCCCACAACGGAGTGAGCTCCCATTGCTCTGTTCCAGCTCCTGCCAACCTAGCAGTTTGAAAGCATACCTGTGCGAGTAGATAAATAGGTACCGCTGCAGCGGGAAGGTAAACGTGCACTCTGGTTTCTGTCATGGTGTCCTGTTGTGCCAGAAGCTGTTTAGTCATGCTGGCCACATGACCCAGAAAGCTGTCTCTGGACAAACACTGGCTCCCTCAGCCTGAAAGCGAGACAAGCACCGCAACCCCATAGTCACCTTTGACTGGACTTAACCATCCAGGGGGTCCTTTACCTTACCTTTAATAGCAGAATAGGTTAGCACAAATTAGCTTTACAGTACCACCCATCAGCATTATCACTGAATGTGCTCACCTCAGCAACAAGTAGAAAATTAGATCATAGAAACAGCACTTCAGGTAAGGTAACTTCATTTGGATATATAGGCATATTTATTATTTATGAATACAATACAGATCTCAGGCCTACATATAAGGAAACTTACGCCTGATTGCCATCAGCCAGCACCTTTGTTTTCTTTCTGTAAGCTCATCACACATACTATAACACAGTTGGCACATCATAGTAACCTTAATTATTAGTTTTATTTATTCAGGTAATGTATAACCAGTTCTGCATGAAAATCAATCCCAAAGTGGGGTACAACATAATATATAATACAGTCCTAAAATAAAGCAATATAAAAAATTAAACCACAATAAATCAAATTGACATGGCAGCAGCATAAGCATGAAGCATAAACATGACCAAAATTTCCTCCAGTCATCAACCAAATTTCTGAGTAAATAAAAATGTCTTTGAAAGTTTGTGTGAAACCCATCAGGTCTGGTGTCAACAAAATATGCTAGGAGACGGCATTCCACAGACATGAACCATGAAGATTGCTCTTGCTTCAATTCTCTTTCTCTAGCATGAGTAGCAGCAGGAAGCCATGATCCCTGCCATAACATTATGCCCAAACCAGTGATTGTGGTTTGTTTTGCTTCAAACAAACCTTACTGTTAAGCCAAGATTTGTTCTTAAATAGATGACAACTTCATTTTATCATTTATGAAGAAATTTTGAAATATAGATAAAGCTCTTGAAATGTCTTCATTTAATATAGAGGTGGGTTGGAAATAATTTTTGGCTAAATGCCTACCTCCCAGATAGCCATCTGGTTGTCATCAGCACAGAACTTCCAGCCTTCAATCTAATCCAGAAACAAAGGTCTCTGTTGAAGCATTTCAAAGCATTGAATGGCAGACTCAGCCATTACTTCAACATCTGGGAAATGAGATGGTACATAGTGTCAGCACCTGAACTATATCACCACAAATCAGTGTGTTCCAAAATCTATGTTTCACACCACGTTATACCTGAAGTTGTTTTTTGCCTTGCTGAAAATTGCAGTTGCATATTTGAAGTAGCCGTTTGCCTTTCTTGCTATACAGAAGTGAAAAGGAAAGAATAGTTATGTACTGATGATGAAACTGGTCAGAGGGAGAAAGCTGGTGAGGTGAGGTGTCGGAAGCTGAAAGGCTAACAAGGCTTAGTGAGTTAGGAGAGCCTGTGGTAGAGAGAAGTCAAGAATCAGAAGCTGAGCTGGCGAATGGGAGGAGGGAGGTCAAGAGACAGTGCTGAACGAGGCTGGTGAAGAGGCATGGGTGTCTCCCCTTCCTGCTGTGACAAGCGCCCCTCCCTCCCTGTCACCCAGAACCAGGAGAGGCATGAAAAGGTTGGAGGAGAGATTGGCTGCATGTAGGCAGAGTCTCCAGGTGATTGGGGAATGCCCTGCAGAGGAGGAGGCATAGACAGCTGTGGGGAGGAGGGAACCTTTAGTATCAGCAACTAATTTCATAGAATAAGATCCATAGGGAATGCACTGATGTGCTCATTAGGTCTGACACTCAGCCCGGTCTATGGAGATTGTGTTTTTGCTAATAAAGATCAACTTTGAACTGGCCGTCACACTCTGTGACAACTGTGGAGCCAAGGAGTATTAATATTTTCAGCTTAATTAATGAGAATAAAGTGACACTTCTTCATCATCCTGGGAGCCGCTGCTCTTGCTTAGCAGAGCAGCCCCAGGAGTGGAGTGTGCACTGCTGCATTATTTCCATTTTTAGGTGCAAGAAGTACAACAAAAATCATCCAGGAAATGAGAAGGTGCATATTTATGTACAGGCAAGAAAATTGCAAATTTGGATGTAGAGAAACAAATGGGTGCTAATCAGTAGGAGGCTTGCTGTAGGACCTATGGTGCTTAGCATAAGTTAATTGCTGCCTATGGGCCAGTGTGTGTCAGCACTCCCATAAGCTCCCAAGTCTTTTAATTTTTCACCTGAGGAGCGGAGGCAGGGAGGGGAGGGGTAGCAGTTATTCTGGATGCAAGTCTCTGGACATACCCATTTCCAGGGAAACACAATGTCAAGTCTTTTGTTTCATTGAATTGTATTTCTTTCTTTTTAAATTGGAAGGCTTTCCAGCACATGATGCAGGGAAGTTGTTAAGACTGTAGTCATAACACACAAATCTCTTTGTATCCGACCATGTATGGCATCTGTGGAGTTGCCCCTTCCGTCTGGTTCCAAGATGTAGATGCTGCTTAAATATGTAACTGCTCTGTAGGCTTCTAATCCTTTGCAATAGTTCTCAAACAGGTGGTTCAGATTAGCTTCTCATTAAAAAAACCTTCTGAGCAGCACCTTCATTAAGAAGAAGCTGCGGAAATTCTAGTCGGTATCACATAGGGGGGGAGAGGAAGGAGCAAGGGCTGTGTTTGAGGCAAGACCAAGGCATGGGGGACTGCACAGATTGTGTTGAACTCTTTTGGGGGGACTATATCAGAGCAGAGAGCAGATGTTCTTGGAGCCTGTTGTTCTGCATAGTCCACAGTGCCCTCTGCTGCAGGCATGTGAGTGGTGCTTCAGCAAAGCAGCACACATGCTTTCATGACTCCAAAGGCACTTTCACATTCACACAATTTATCACCTAACAATTTTTCTGTTTCCTCAAAAAAGTGTTTCTATGGCATCTTGTTGGGAATGGGGTGTGCGGGGGCTTAGGCTGAACTGAATCAGTTCCTGAACCTTCATTGGCTTGAACCAACACAACTTCAGTTACAGCTGAGCCCAAACTACGTTTTAAAAATGGTTTGGATCCCCATATAACATAATTTGTTTTCATGATGGCTTGCAAAACAATATAAAGAAAGACAGGTCCAAAGTCTTAAGAGATAACAAATTAAATTTTGACAGAGAAAAGTCAGCAGAGGGAGGGAGACAGAACAATGGGGTGTATCTTTGCAAATGCAATTATGTATGCATAGGTTTTGATTTAGCTTGGGGTAAAAAAACAGGTTCATGCAAAAAGCTACACATAACACAGCATTTGTGAATAGACCTTGCATTTTTTAACTAGAATGTAGTAGAAAGCTCTCCAGCACATATTTTTTTGTATGAAAAGGGGGCTTTGGGATCCATCTGAAATGTTTTCCCAAAACGTAACCCCCCCATAGTTCCTTTTTTGTGCAGCAATCTGCTGCTGCTTGTGGCCCTAAACAGCTGCAAACTCAGGGCCTTTTTTGCTCTCAGATTGGTGCATGATGACAGAACTATGACAACGGAAGAAGTCCTATTTTGAGCAAAGAAATGATACTGAAACTGCAGCCCATCTGCACTACATAGAGGCTCACACTTCTGCAGCCTGAAGACCATGCCTTAATTGCATGAGGAACACTTCATCTCTCTATAGCACCTCATAATAAAACTGCTTATTTTGTGGTAAAATAAAATATTCATAGAATGCAGCCCTACCCCCCCCATTCTAATTTAGCATTGGATGCTGTAGCCTAATGACAGAATTCAACACTTTTAAAGACTCTAAAGTGAACTCACAGTATATTTCCCTATAAATCCAATCATAGGTTTTATCCCCCCCCGCCCCCCGCTCTCCAAGCCTGCTATGCCGTAAACTATTTGGACATAGCCAACATGGTACCTTACTGACCTTGGCCTTGTGTTCTCAACACCTATCATCCCTGACCATGGCCAAGCTGGCAGGGGCTGGTGGGAGTTGCAATCCAAAGCAGGGTACCAGGTTAGCAACCCTGATCTAGAGGGTGCTCAGTGGTAAGTGTGTAAGTTGTATAAAAGAAACCCACCTGTATAATAGTTCTATAAGAGAAATACTTATTGTTAGCAAAAGAATCAGACTGTATTTAATAATGTAGTTAGCTCCCGATTTTGACTTTAGTTTTTTCTGTAGAATTTAGGCTGGAGCGTTAGAGATGTACACTGCCCTTTGAAATTCTTATTTGTTGACACTAGCTCTGTAACTTTCAGTAAAATATGAAAGTCCTGGTAAATAACTCTCTAGAAAAATCAGTTAAATAGTTTGTGTATTTTGGGAGATTTTCTTTTAGTATTTTAATCCTCACATAAGCATAAGTATTCAGGCACTATTGTATCTGAATAAATTCTATAGGGACGATCCTGTGAGTGGTCAGATGAAAGGGACTAAATAACATAAAAGGTCTAATTGCTCTGATTCTCTTTAAATTATTATCTTGGGATTAATTGGATACACTGGCAACACTAGTTCAAATACACAAGCTCACTTTGGTGGGCTGGGTTGCACGCAAAGGACACCTTGCATTCTGATGTGAGGAACAGGTGTTTGTATCCAGTTCTCTGCCTTGCTTTCATTTTGTAAAGTAGCCCATGTCTTATGATTTTTTTACTGTTGTCTAACTAGCATTCTTCTATTAAAGGACAAAGCAGGGGCCTAGGGACCTTGCTTAATGCATTGTTGTTGCTGGTGGCAAGGATGGGAGATGATGTCAGACAATTCTCCAAGGAAGCATTACTGAAGGAAATGACTAAATAGTATTTCTGCAAC